GCTTTCCAAGAACTCATGGCCTCGCCACTATTGATAAGTATGGCATACGGGAGGGACATAATGGCAGTGGCATCTTGAGTTAAGAAGGAATTTGTTTGATTGGGAGCTTGATCAATGGGAGGCTTTCAATAATACTTTGAAAGACCAAGCCTTAGATGTGAACCTTGATGACAAACTGATCTGGAGAGACAATCCTAGTGGGTGCTATTCTACTAGTTCCTTCAACCGTTCCTTCCAAAGACCAGTTATTCAAGATGAAAATTACTAGATATCACTTTGGAGTGGCCTTACTCCGCTAAAGGTGGAAGCTTTCTGTTGGCTCATTCTCAAAGGAAAAGTCATGGTTTGGATACTCTTTTGAAAAGAGGCCTTAGTAAAGCAGCTTGCTGTCTTCTTTGTATAAAAGATATTGAAATCGTTGCCCATCTTTTTGCTGCCTAGTGAATCCTAGGCTTTATGGTATCTATGGGCAAGCAATTGGGGGCCGAAATGGGTTATTCATAAAACGACCCTCTTGTTAATTTTCTTATCTTGGAATGAAGCTGCCAAAACTGTCGGCAATTAGGAAATTTGGAGGATGGCTTTCCCGGCAAGAGTGTGGACCATTTGGTCGGAGAGAAATGATGGATGCTTCAATGGTAAGCTTTGAGATAGTCATCACATTTTTGATATGGTGAAACTATGGGTAGCTTGGTTGGCTCGCGCAAAGTTGCCGCATTCTAATTTATCTATTTAAGACCTTGTGAGGTTTCCAAAATTAACAATGGTCCCTTCAAAACCTTTGAAAGGAAAACCTGATGTCAAATGGCAAGCCCCTCCGGATGGAGCCCTCAAATTTAATATTGATGGTGCTTCGAGTGGTAATCTAGGTGAAGTTGGAATTGGAGGGGTTCAAGGGATGTAAATGGTAATGTTTTGCTGCTTTTCTCTTTCTCAATGGGAATACTGGATGCCAATGCCACTCAGATTAAAGCTTTATGTAAAGCTCTTCAAATGTTTGTTACTCCTAGATGGAGCTCCCAAAAGGATATCTTTGAAAGTGATTCTGAAAATGCTGTTAAACGAGGTTTAAACCTAATCACAGCCCCTTGGATATTAAGACCTGTCGTTATTCAGATTATGCGTTTTAAATCTATTATTGACGGCTGTGAAATTGTCAAAATTTCTAAGTCCGCCAATGATATTGCTGATTCACTTGCCAAATCAGGGGTGAGTTAAAAAGTTGATTTTATATGGGTATTGCCTCCACGGGATGATGAATTATAACGGAAACGCTGGGGTGGTTTGCTGCTGCAAATCTGTTTTTGTTCTTTTGCAGCTTTTCTTGGTGGCTTGGAGGTTAATTCTCCTCCTTGATGGCTGTAACTTTATTTATTATGAATGAACTCAGCTTTTCAAAAAAAAAAAAAACCCTCAAATATAAATTCAAATTCTATGTATGATCATTAAATTTTAATTTTATTTTTTATTTTACTCACTGAATTTTAATTCATCTCAATTAGATTATTGAGTTTTGATCAAATTCTAAATTTAGATTTTACACTCTACCAAAGTATTGGATCTATCCTATTTATTATAATTCATATAAATCAAGTCTTTATATTCTTAAAATTTATTAATATCAATCCAATCATTAATATAATCAAGTTTTCTGCATCAAAATTGCTGACATGACATTAGTCATGTTGATAATGCTAACTTTAGAGTTAATTTTTATATTTTATCAAAATATTAAATTTAATCTCTTTAATATAATTATATTTAAAAAATTTGTTAATTTCAATTTATAAAATAACATTGTCAAGCTTCATTCCTAAAAGTTGTTAAGTGGAGTTGACTATGCTGATGACGTTGACCAATGATAGCATGATATTACTCAATGTTGACAAGAACCCTATTCGAATCTCTTCAAACTTTCCATCAGATTCCGATATGCGTCAGCGCCGTCCGTTTCTCTCTCTACGTCGTACAATTTATCATTTTCTTCCGCCTCTTTAATATTTTCTCTCACACACAACCATATATAATTGTTGTAACCTTTCTTCCTTTGTCTCTGCCGATATCACACAACTTTTGGTTCTCTAGTATTTGTATAGTAGACGGGGTTATGGAAAGCTTGATGCAAATGGCTAAAATTGACAGCTTGCTGGAATATCTCATTGGTGTACCACTTTTTAATCCTAATTAGTTTGGTTAATTGATAAGCTTTTATTTTAAATCTTTATTTCTTTCTTGATTTTTGATTAATCTTAATTAATTTATGAATTAGTGTGTGCTTTACGTTTTTAATCATTTGGCTAGCATTTAAATGTGACGTGCCACCCAAAATGCCACATCTTTTTTTTTATTTTTCTTTAAAACAAATAGATCTTTAAAATTTTCATGTTAGCATTGGTCAACACTATGTTAACATCAATCGACATCATGTCAATATCAGTCAATATATGTTAATATGGTCACATGAGTCACTTTAATAGTGAATTTAACAAATTTTGAAATTTTGAAAGTTATAATGTTTACAAATAAAATAAAAAGATTAAATTCAACACTTTAATAGAGTACATACATTAAATTCAAATTTTGACTTAATTTTTAAAATTTCAAAAATTTCTAAATTAACATGGTCGATGCTATTTGATTTATATTAATAAATTTTAAAAGTATAGAGATTTGATTTATATTAATAATAATATAAAGATTAAATTTAACATTTTTGGAAGAATATAGAGGGATTAATTTGAGAATTTGATGCCTTTCCAAAATCTCAACAATCATCCTCTCTACACAAAATCAAGCTTCCCAGCCTGCATGAGACACTGACATAATAGCGACTTAAACAACCCTAATATATTTTTAAAAAAATATCATGTTAACTTTTATGATTCAATTTTTTCTCTATCATTTTGTTTTTTGTTTTTGTTGGAAGATATAAATTGCAAAAAATAATTTGCAAAGAAAGAAAATGAGAAGACAAAAAGTGTAAAGAATTTTTGAAGATTTTTTAAATGAATGAATATATACTTAAATGGTTATTATATTGTTATTTCATAATTATTTGAATAGAATCTCTTAATGTGATCAACATTAGATACAATTTTAAAAATTTTAAACTAAATTGGTATAAATTTGAATTCAGTGACTAAAGTAAGAAAGGAGTATACCGGCTTTTTTTTCAAAAAAGAAAAACTTTATAAACTTAAAAAGATGTTCACATGCATAAATACATGATAATTATTTTTTTATTAAAAAGCAACAAAATAGATCACCATAAAAATCACATTTAAAATCATTTAAGTCAAGATAGAAGTTCTTACCAATCGAATCAACCTAGAATTAATGAATACTTACTTGTACATAGTAATTTTCACAACAAGTTGATTTTATGTATAGTTTATAATTTTTGTTATGCATTTTGAAAAATGTCAGGGTAATAAATAAGAGAATTGAAAATGTTGAGCACTGTACCAATAATAACCAAGAGATTTCGATGTGGAATCTTAACTCTCATTGAGGAGCAAAGGTTAAGCTTGAACTATACATAATATATACACATCCTATAATAGAAAAGAAGCAAACAGTAATCTTATAATTTTATGCAATGTTAGAATCTCAAACTATATATATTCGAATTATACAAAATGCAGCCTTTAGACAAATAAGAACTAGCTATATTAATGATATATGTTTAAATATTTTGTGGATATTGGACATACACCATTCTATTCTTTCATCGGCAACACATCAAAACCATATTTTCAAACAAAGTGGAACAAAAATGTTGAAATATTTAAATAATAAAAGAAAAGCCAAGATTATAACTGAATGTATGGTATTCCAGAAATCTTCTTCTCAAAGACTAGTTGCAAGAAGTTAGGATGGTAGAGAAGGAGGATACTTGCACTTGAATCTCCATTCTAACTCGCCACTTGCGTTAAGAGCAAAGTTATTAATGTAAATCAACCTACTTATGTTTGTTTATAATCAAAGGCATGACAAAATGTTGATGTTTATCATGCTGGCATAGAGGGAAAGGGAACTTGATTTTGTATAGGAGGGTTATAGGGTTTAGAGGTGCTGTTTTGTTTTTATTCGCGCTCACAACAATTTCATAGGGACTTGCTGGTTAAGACTTTAAATGTTACGACGATTGCGATTTTTAATGAAATATAGCATGACAAAATGAAACAAAGCAAAAAGAATATTTAAAGTTTTATATAACTCACAAAATTTAATTAAAAAAACACTTAGAGAAAATGGTAATGACAGAAATTAACTAAGTAAATATATGATTTTTTTAATATTTTATGATAATTAAACTTCTAGCTAAAACCCATAATTAATTTTAGATATTCAAACAGATATAAAGAAAATGTATCAATTTTTTTTTATACATAGATCATTTCTCTTTACATGCAATTTTCTTCTAATTGCCCTTCTTCAAAATGTTTTGGGAACTAACAATAGAGAAGTCCATTTTTCTTATGGGAGATGGGAGTCACTCAAAAATTCATTCACTATGAACTCAACTCAAACGCCTATCTTCTCTTTCATTCTAATATTAATCTTGTTGAAGGACACCATCAGACTAAGACCTCTTCTTTGGATTTATTATAATTATAATAGAAAAACTATGCATGTATCATTTGCTTTGATACCAATTAGATCATGTCATAGCAAAGTTTAGCAGTGATCACAGTTTCATGAATTATACTTCAGCTATCATTGAACAAGCATTCCTTGGGGCAACCTAGACCAGACTATTTCACTCTTGAAAAGAAAAGAGAAGACTACAATATTAAATGGCTACACCTAGTTGTAACCATCATATTATGAAAACAACGATAAACAAAAGGGTTTCTCACAGAAATTTCAGTACATCAAACTAAAGGATCAATGGAAAAGGACAAAGATCACTAGCTGACTTCAACTGAGCGACTAAAAAGGCCAATCTGACTTCTAGAAATATAATACCCTGAAATACTTCTTAATAAGCTACATAATCAGATTGAGGTAATTTTAGATCCTGTATCCTCACCATCTAGAGCCGCATAAGGTTCATTGAGATCAAAATCTAGCATCTTGGGGGGACAAACCTGACTTCCATCAGCTGCCTGACTAGCTGTTGGGAATAATGTTTTGCATTTTAGATGTTTGCCCTCTGCTGGTGATGCTGTTTCATCCAATGGAGCTTCAAATAGTTGTCCACTAGGGTTTTTTGGGTATAAACCAGGTGTTTGGCTACTAGGGATGATCTTGTCCCTAAATCTACCTTCCACGGTTGATGGATCACCCTTTTCTTCATCAGGCTTCCTCGGGAACTTCTGAAATTGATCAAAACAACGATTGTTTTCAACGATTTTAGTAGCATCTGCATAATTCAGCTTCAGCTTATTTTCCCTTACCATGGATTTCTTATCTATAAAATTATCGCAATGGAGCTCTTTCGTTAATGACGTCTCCATCTTTTTTTCTTCACCAGGCCAGTACGAATCTTCCCGTTTATATTCCGAAGGAGTTCTCTCTTGATCCGACTCAGTTTTCAACCTAGCCTTTCCTTTCCCTTCACCCATGTCCTTACCTAGAACAATATTGCTCCGTTTTTTCTGCTCTGAAGCTTTATTTGTCAAGCCCGAAGATTGACATTTATCAATCATCAGCTTATCTGTTGATGAAAATTCTTTTTGGTATCCAATACTTGACTGACCCAAATCAAAAGATTCTCCTCGAGATAGCTTCATAAGGCAGTAGGCAGCTTCAGGGATCTCATCGGAGATATATTTGCCGCATCGCTTGGCAGTGTTCGTCCATTTAGGAAGAGATTTCAACAGATCGGAACCTGACACCAAGCCTTTTTCTGTTGCACAACTAATCTGATCAACTTCTAGAGCTTCATCGTTTTCGGATACGCTTGAACAGCAGCTGTTTTTGTCAGAAGGAGGTGGCCTGATCCCTCTCCAACCCCTCTCAGGATGGTTCCTCATGTGCCCAAACAAAGATTTCATTGACCTGAAATCCTTTTTGCATATGCAGCAACTGACTTTCTCAGCACCTTCGTGATCATTCGAGGGCAGATCAACCGCTCCATCGGCAGCTTTTGGTAAAAGCGTATTCTTCGAGATCCGTTTCTTGCTCTTGGCACGATGAAGATTTTTTGGCTGAAGCTTTGAAATCTTTCTATGGCAACCAGTTTTGTTGCCCTTCATGTGAATCCTTATATGACCTCCTAAAGCCTTGCCCGAAGTAAACCCTTTGCTGCAAACGGGGCAGATATGCTGGCCACAACGTTTCAAGGTATTGGAGACCTTGAGCTTGAGAAAGAGTTTTTTTGACTTGGAGGGTGTTAAATCTGATGTTTCCATCGAAACAGACTCTTGTTCCAAGTTTTCAATCGCTTGAGCAGCTTGATCACCCATCAAACAGAAAGCAAAAATAACAAAGATTTCTTCCTTTTCAGTTTTCTCAAAGGAAAACGAAAAGAGTATAGAGAAGAGAAAGAGATTGGGACTTTAGAAGACAGGAATTATGACGGCATGTAAAGAGACAAATAGCAAGGAGTGAGGGGGCAATCAAGGTATTAGGGCAAAGAAAGAGGAAGAGAAATAGAGGAGCTAAGCTATATTGTAGGGGAAAAATCAAAAAGAGGGAAAAACTAAAGACCTTTGCTTCTAGGATTTTGGATAGACACGCCACATTGCGATAATCTCTCACAAATATTACGTGCAATAATGACGGTCTTCATTGAATTTCCAATGCATAACAGATTTCGACAGCCATTTCTTGTATCTTCAATGAGTATTTAATTCGAGTCCTTTTTTCTTTTTCATTTTTCATTTTTCCCATGTATAGAAAAAGCCATTTCATTATTGCCAAATAAACCAAAAAGACCAAAATAATGAAACATTAATTTATATTAGAAAAAAAAATTGCATATTAGGCATTGTAATTCTTCTTTCTTTGCTTCCAAATTAAAGCCATTGAATCATATGAGTTACGCTATTTTTCTTTTGGGAATGCCTCTTTTAATATTTTGAATTAAAGATCTTCAAATTAGAGATTTCATTATCAAACTGCTAGTGTATCCTTAAAGATAATTACATAAGGTTTTTCCTTTTTTTTTCCCAATAAAGCTAATTTTATTAAGATTAAAAATGAAGTCTTTTATACCGTAAACAAAATGGAAAAATTAAATTTACAAAGAAAAGTCCGTAAAGTCCACTTTGATCTTTACTTTAAAATGATAAACTGATCAATACTAAGATATAAATAGATTTTAGAGCAACCCAAAATGAAAATAATTTTCATTGAACTCATATAAAGAAAGGGCAATAGGGTTTGAACTTATAAACATTTCAAATCAAAGCCAAGTTGATTGTTTTTTTAATATTTAACTAGAAATCATGTCAAATCCTTTTTGTCACATATCTAAGTAGTTAGACTGAGAGAGAAAAAGGAGAGTTTTAATTTGTAATTTGTGAAATTCAAACCTTTATCCTCCTTATCTTCAATACCCTTTTAACGAACTTTCCTTTTTAAAGCTAATACATATAATATTCATTTCTTTATATAGTTTTTAGTTATTTAAGTTAGTGTCTATTTAATCGGGTATTTAACTGATTCGGGCAAGTAACGGCTAGTACTATATTATTAGGGTTGGATTTTGGATTGTAGTTCGCAATTTATTTAAATTTTAATAGGATTCATGTACTTTTTTAATTAATTGGATCTGGGTAGGGTACTTCAGAAAAGCATATACCCTACCTATTTACATCTCTACGTAAGAGGCTTAAAACTTAAAGGTAATTATACTATATGGTACTAATTCTTAGATTTATCTATTCATTCAAAGTCTCAGATAAAAGTATGAAAGCTTAACAATTTGAGAATGAGAGATAGAGAGAAAGGAGGAAGAGATGTTTAAATTACATGACAATCTCTTAAAAGATTCGGGAAAGTACTTCAAATAGAATCTCTCCTTGGGCAACAAACTATGGAGGTAAATATATATTTTTTAGCTTAATCTAATATATATTTCATTCATATTATGACGTGTATTTATTTTTAAAATAATAAATAGTTTTTATACATCACATGTAAATTATTAACTGAAATGGTATTTGTTGACAAAGAATAATCCTTTCATATATAGAATCCTTTTTGGTCTTTTGTAATTTCTTGTAATTTTTACATATTATATATATAATAATTATAAAAAAAACAAATAAATAATTAAATATTAATCTCCCAAGAACTGTATTCTTGTTCACATAAATTAAAATTTGAGACTTTCAAGTTAATAATTCTAAGCTTTAACTATTACCTAAAGCTTTAGATACATGCATCTATCATTAAAACAAAATATTCAAGTGCATGAGTACATGAATAGCTCGAAGGAAATTAATATGATACCAATCACCTGCGCATATATCTCGTATATAGATGATAAAAGCTTAAATACAGCTAAGGCTTTCTACATAATTGTGGGGAAAGAAGGGTAGGAATATCCTAAAAGATACGATAAGTTCAGGTTGTCATTTTTCGCTTATCACTCTTTGACCAAAACAGGTTGGTAATAGCCATTTCTTTGGTATTTCAATAAAATAATCCAACTCATATATTGGGATAATTTTCTTAAACTTGATGAAGACACCTCATTTTATTCTGGGAATTTTAAAGGCTTCATTTTCACTTTTATCACTTCTATTATATAATTCTTTCTACCACTTTGTTATTATGGCTTCATTTATCTAATTGCAACTTTATTTCTAAATATCATCATCCTTTATTTACCTAATTTATTTTTTTCAATTCATCACTTATGCGTATCATTCTCAACCTTCGGGAATTTTACTATCTTAATATCACATCATTTTCAAAAGTTTTTCTCATCTCATTCGGTCTCAATTTTGTAAACTCAGCAATATGTTTGATGGGTTCTTATTTCATGTATCAACATTACTTCTCTATAAATATTTACACCTGTTCATGACAAGAAAAAGATTGTCAAAATCTAAAACAAAATCAAATGAAAAGAAAATGCAAAATAAATGGAATTAGGCCCAATATAATAATATGGCAATACAAGGTGGGTTAAGTTGAAGTCTTCAAAATAGAAAACGCAAAATGAAAGGAAACATACTCAAATGGCAAGCACTTGAACAAGATCCGAACAGAAATTTCCTGCTCTTTTTTAATTTTACATTAACTATTTAATAAATTTCTCATATTAGAATTTACAGTTTATGATTTAAGCTTTTGAGATTAGAGTTCTTGATTAATAATGACATAATACTCAAATAAGCTCATAAACTATTTTAAAAAATTAAATAAGCCATTATTCTTTTATTTGGCTCTAAATAAAAGCATAAAGACTTGATTGAATATAATAAAAATATAAAAGTTTTTTTTAATTTTTCTAAATAATTTTAAAAGTTTTTTTAGATATTATGTCATTAATAATATAAAGTTAGATATTTAGTGTAAAATTATTTTAAAAAAAATCAAACAAGTCACTAAATGAGGATTGAAGATTTTCATTCACAAGACCCCGATATTAGTTACCTTGATAGCGAGTTTGAGCCCTTTGGTAGGAGGTTTTCTATTTGTGAAATAAAATAATTATTCCTCTAATTAGTTAATGCTTCCAAACCTTTCAACTAAAAAGTTATTAATACCCATAATTCAACATTGATGTGAGAAGTAGCATATGCTTTGAGAGAATCATTGCTGAAAGAATATTTCTATATATTATTCAGAAATGAAAACTTACAGAGCTAATGTTTTATATACACAGGTACAAAGGGAATAATGGATTCAGTTATAAAAGAGGGAAAAACTAAATGTAAAAGTTAGTTAGAAACTAACTGCTAATTACAGCTAGTAAAATAGTAAAAGTAGTTAGGAAACATAAATATTGAACGTGTGTTCATTTTTTCTCTATTTACACGCTCCACACGTATCCTCACTTCAGTAAGCACATGTTTTTTTTTTTTCACCATCAACTCTGCAACCAAGCTCTTCACAATCTTCAGTCCAAGTAAATACTCCCTCTCAGGATGAATGTTCATGGCGGAGCATGAATATCATGAATATTCATCTTGCCTAATAGTTTATAATATTGTTTTGGTTGCAACCCTTTTGTAAGCAAATTTGCAATATGCCATTCTGTAGAAATATATATAGGATCAATCATGCTTGCTACTTTCTCACGGATGAAATGACAATCCATTTTTATGTGTTTTGTACCTTCATGAAAAATAGGATTTCAACAAATATAAATTGTAGATTGATTATTGATTATTGTAATGAAGTTTGACTGCTACTTTATTATTAATGTTAAAATCAGATAACAAATACCTCAACCGTATGAGTTCGCAGCATGTAGAAGCCATAGATTAATACTTTGCCTTGGTTGAACTTCAAGCAACCACTAACTGCTTTTTGAACTTTGGCTACCTAATGAACTTCCCAAAAGAACACAGTATCTTGTGACTGATTTGTGGGTATCAGGACAACTTGCTCAATCACTATTGGAATAAGCAAATATGGTCAAATTTGAGTCTGATTTCATGAGTATTCCTTATCTTGAGACTGATTTAAGATACTTCAATACTTGATATGCTGCAGATAAATGATCTTGTCTTGGTTTATCCATAAACTGTGATAATACCTGAACTGCATAGGAGATGTTTGGTCTAGCAAAAGGTTCAGTATAAAAACTTTCGCACGAACTGTCTATAACTTGTTGGATTAGTAATTTCCTTATCATCATTGACTTTATTCAACTTGTGACTATAATCAATAGGAGTTGTCATTGGTTAAGTGCCAAGCATTCCATATTCTTTTAAAAAATCCAATATATATTTCCTTTGACAAATGGAAATTCCTTCTGAACTTCTTGCAACTTCAAGTCTTAAGAAATACTTTGATAATGTATAAACTGTCTCTTCTAACCCTCCATTCAAGAAGGCATTTATGATGTCTAACTATGATAAAAACCATCCTTTACTAATTACTAATGCCAAAAAAAACTCTAACATTGGTTTGCTTAACAACAAAACTGAAGGTTTCTTGATAATCAAAGTCTTCTTTTTGATTGTATCCTTTAGCAACTAACGTTCCTTGTACCTTTCTATAGCACCATTTGCATTCATTTTGACCTTAAATACTCATTTACAACCAATTGCATATGAATTAAGGGGCAAAGGAACAACAAACCATGCACCATTATCTTCCAAAGCCTTCAATTCACATTGCATTGCATCTTTCTAACGAGAGTAATTAATAGCTTGATTGTAAGTGCTAGGTTCATAAGTTTGAGATAAAGTAGTGGTAAAGGTTTTATGCATGGAAGATAGATTATTATAGGAAAGAAAACTTAGTGAGGATGTGAAGTAACTAATTAAGTAGTAGAAGG